GCTAAAGTAACTCAGGTGTCCTGGCTGTTTCCCGAGTGTCACACCGAGGTTAGTTTTATGAAATCCTAACTATTACCCGATATTGTTTCTAACTGTTATTGTTACTATTTCAAATTATAGATGATATCTCACTCATTCTCTCATTTAGAACGTTACGCGAGGGTTAATAAATTTGTTATTTCTAATGATCTGTACTGATTTGGTTATTTGCTACTTAAGGGTATTTTAGTCATTCTCTGATTCTAGGGAAACTCCATTCAATTTTGAGACTTTATGGCGATTTTTATGGTTATTGATTTTTTGGTTGAGGTTCTAGTTGGCCTGATAACTAACTCATGTTCATTTTTGGGTAGCGATACTCTATTCGCTAATATTATGCTTTTCCCTCAATTCATCCTTGAATTAAATGAATATATGTGCGTCCAACACTCTCGATCTTTCTTGCAGTTTACGACATATTGTTTCATAAACTAATTTCTTGATCATACCTCTCGGCAGTACACCCTGTGCAGTATTCCTCCATTTATAAATATTTGTTACGTGTATACTGAAGATACTTGGACACATTACGCCTGCTATGGTTACACTGTTGTAACTCACTCCTACGAGTGCCCCTGGGCCCTTTTGGCTATTTACGTCCCTTACAGACAAAGCATTATCCTTACAGACCATACCAAGATCATATGGACCTTAATCAGGTTGAATCTGATCACCTTAGGTGGGTAGTATCATACTCTAGATGTAGTATCAATACCCTAGGGTCAAGTATTGATACCCCTATGAGTATCGGTACTAAAAAATGCATTATGTCTAAAATTGGGGCCCAGTATCGATACTCTCTTTTGAAAACCCTAATTTAACCAGTATATATACAATTCAACCCAATATTGATACTTGAACCTTGAAACTGATATTTTAGGCTCGAAAAAACACCCAAAATCATCCTAAATGACTTGGGTTAGTTTCTAAATTGATTCTGAAGTTCTAGTAAGTTATTTAAGGTTCTTATGTGTCACAAAAATACTTCTTTAAGACCTAAAATATGATTTAATCATGAAATCAAGTTTAAACCCTACTATGCTCCATTATACAAATCTTAGCAAATTCTTGAAATTTATGGAAACTTAATACTCCAAAGGATTAGAAATACACTACCAAGCTAATTGATTCATGAAATTGAGCTTCTTGCTTAGCGAAAATCTTTTCCTTAGCAATTTGGATGAAAACCCCAATTTTTCTCTTACAAACATAAAACCCAAGATTGAATCTTTAAAATAATATTGTTGGGGTTTAATTAGGACAAATTTGAAATATTAAAAGGTCTAAAAAATCTTACCTTTGCTATGGCTAAGAGAGAAAGAAGGTGGAAGAGAAAAAGAGGAGAAAAATGAAGAGAATATGAAGATGAAAAAAATCTTTAACTTTATACTATGAAAAAAAGTCCCATTTTTATGGCTAATTGGGCCCAAGTCCAACCTAATTAAGCCCAACGACTTGAATTATAATTTATGTAGGATCCACTTGTCTCTCGGGTAAACCCAAAACTACTAGCCCATACTTTGGGGTGTTACAATGTATGAGTTTATAGAGCATGTGAGTGCATTCATGGTAAATCATGGCATTTGATGTCATACAACATGTAAAATGACTTATTATGACCCCTATCAGCTTATATAAGACTTAAATAATGTTTAAGGGCTTTAGAGAGACTATAGGTGAAGTTGGGTGTCATTTTCGAGCTTAAACAGAGTATTTATAGGTTTGGTATCAATATTGGATGAGCAATACCAATATTGTTCTTCAGATAGCCAAAAACAAGGGGATTTTGGCTGGTGGTGGGGTATAGGGCATCGATATTGTTTGTTGGGTATCGATATCTATGGGGGTTATCAAATAGAGTCTTCTAATTTCATATTTCAACAACTAGTTTTGGTATAAATACCAAGGGTGGGTATTAATACTGATTATTATTTTCTAAATATATAATCCATTCCCTAATATAGAGGTATTGATACTCCAACTAGGAGTATCACTGCTATAAGGTTTTCTCAAAATTTAGTAGTGTGTTTTAATATTGGTACCAAGGCTGAGTATCGATACTGAAGGGTAAGTATAGATACTGAGAGGCTTGGTATCAGTACCATAATGTGTCTTCATATTCTAATAGCTAGTTTTGGTATCGATACTAAAATATCAGTATTGATACTGAAAGACTTGATATCGGTACAATCGTCTTGAATTAGGCAAGAAATCTAATTTAATTCAAGGGTTTTGGGAAGAGGCCTAGGACCATTTAAACTTCTCTAATAAAACTACAAGTGAAACAACATATGAATACAATAATAACTTAATAATAATATGAAATAAGATATCATAAAACTAGCCATTGTGTGATGCTCAAGAAACAACAATGACACCCGAGTTACTCTCGTAGTATGACGATCATCTTGTATGTTAGAATATTCAGATATACCTCAGCTAGTGCTAGGGAACTTCAGTGTTGGTCAGACTCATATGCCACTTACATTCAAGATGAGTAGTTTGATCTGTTGTACATTTTCGATGCAGAAATTTTGGATCTCACACTAGGTAGGATAGAGGGGTGTGTCCTAAGATGCAATGAACCCTCCGATCACACCATGATGCCTACCTCATCATGTGTCTTTAGTATACTTGTGTGCTTATGTCTTACTTGCTAGCATGGCCATATAATGAACGCTTGTAGTATAGTTTAGTTATTAGTGTGGCAATGAGCTTGTGAGCTTAGCATTTGAATTTTGTTTCCATGTGTAGGTTCTTAAGAGGATCTTTAGAAGCTTATCACACAGTCTGCATTTTAGAGTATTTAAAGTAATAGAGTACGTCTTGAGTCTTTTCTTAGAGGGTACTATTTATAGACCTTCATGTATTCAAGTTGTAACTTTATTTTGAAATACTTCGATTGTATTATTCTAAGAAAAAATTTAGCAATCCCCATTTTCTAAACTTGAACACTTATGTTTTTATCTTATGGTTTCAATTGATGGTATTTAAATAATGATTTCCATGCGTTTTAAAGAAAAATTTTAGGTTAGCCACTTCTGTAGACCCATGCAATACTCTAGTCTGTTAATCTTTAGGTCAAATCAAATTAGGGTGTTACATTAAACATCAAATCCTAAACCTTAAATCTTAAATCCCAAACCCTAAACCTTAAGGCTTAATTCTTAAAGCCTAAAATATAAACCTTAAACCCTAAAGCTTAATATCTAAACCCTAATCCTAACCCTAAAAAGGAAAAATATTATTTTACTATGGATTAAAGAAATATTTATTTATGGGTTGTAAATTTTAGTTAAATCTGAGATTAAACCTTAAACCCTAAAGCTTAATCTCTAAACCCTAATCCTAACCCTAAAAAGGAAAAATATTATTTTACTATGGATTAAAGAAATATTTATTTATGGGTTGTAAATTTTAGTTAAATCCGAGATATTTATTTAATTAAATCTAATGGCTATAAATTGATGGAAAACTTATTAGTTTTATATAGTGTATATTAATCCTAACCCTATATGTGTGTGTGTTAGGATCCACTTACACCTAGTGTAAAAACTTTTAGTTTTACACCTTTTTAGGATCGTTGGATGAGCCAAAAACAAATACTGGAATTAACTCATTATTTTTTCAGTGAATATATTCTCATTTACTATTATTAATCTCAACCTTTGATTTTCCCTCATACAACAATCCTAAAATAGTGTAAAACTTTTTAGTTTTCCACTATGTAATTGGATTCTAGCCATATATATATATATAGTCAAGATCCACTTACACCTAGTGTAGAACTTTTAGTTTTACACCTTTTAGGATAGTTGGATGACAGAAAATCAAAAGATGGGATTAACTCTTTATTTTTTTCCATTGAATATCTTCTCATTTCTTACTGTTAATCTTAGCCTTTGGTTTTTCCTTATCCAATGATCATAAAAAGGTGTAAAACTTTTTAGTTTTACACAATTTGATCATGTCCCTATATATATATATATTATACGATTAGGATCTGCTTACTCCATTAGTTTTACACCTTCTATATATGTATGTTTGTATATATAACAAAGAAAAAAAAGATAGCACACATATACTATTGATTATTTTAATTAGAACCCTCAAAATATCATTTGATGTAAAACAAATTATAAGATAAAGTAATTATACTAATGACATTATGACAATGTCAAAATTAGCCCTCAATGTTATTAAAATGATTGTTTTGGCTTTTTTAACATATTGGCCCTAGCATTTAGTTTAGGATAACCCTAGTATTAGATTAAATATTCACTTTAGCCCTTATTCTTTTTTTCTGAAGTATTTTGACCCTCAATATTTCCTTTTAGGATAAAAAAGTTCTTATTTTGGAGCATTAAACGTATGTTAACTAACAGTTTCCATCCATAGAGGGGCTCTTTTGCTCTAAAATAAAATACTGGGAACCAAAATACTAAAAAAAAGACAAATAACTAATTAGACGGTAGTTTTAGATATTAAGTAACATATACATACAAGTATTGTTTGAGGCCAAAATGGATGAAGAAAATACAGGCAAGCATTAAGCCTAAAAGGCCTAAACCAGCAATAAAAACAATACAAAGATTTTGGACTAGAATCATATCCGAAGTGGACCACAACTATAAAACGAGGGGGGAAAACAAGTAGCAAGAAACACAATCTTTTTTTCTCTTCTAAAAGCACTAGTGTAAAATTTCGAAAATCCCTCCCTTGCCTTGCCTTAATCCATCTCTTCCTCTGTCCTATAAAATCCCCAAATCAAATCTATTTCCAAAATTACACCCAAAAAGCCTTCCCACTTTCTCTCCACTTCAACCTCCCATTTCCATTGGATCGATTGCGTCGTCACCAGCTTCATCTCTCGTTAGGGTTTTGTTTTTTTCGAAGTTCTGTTTTTGTTCAAAAAAACGGGGATCTTTTGCTACTTCCTTATTTTTAATTTTTTTCTCGGTATGGACTATGAAGTTTGCGATAGTAGTGGTATGTTGCATTCATTAATGCCGTATTATTGTATTAAACAATGCCCGGTGTTTCTGGGTTTCTTCTTCTTTTCACCCCTTTTCTTTTCTTTCATTTTTTTAATTCGAATTGTAAAATTGGGTAATGGGTGCATTTGGTTTATGGGGGTTGGGGGTAAGGTGATGATGAATGAGGGTTTAGGGTTTAATTGGAGTCATTGGCTTTTGTTCAATTTTATCAGGGAAATGCTTTCGTGTGATTTTCCTGTATAGGTTTTGTTTGTTTCTAGCTTTTAGGTTTTATCTCCACGTCTTTCTTTGAATTCTAATCGGGATTGAGAGAGAGAGAGAGAGAGAGAAAAGAGAAATCCATGATATAAGAACATTTTCCCCTGTTTGAAATAAAAATAATTTTCTTACTCTCTTTCGTTGTTCAATTATTTTTCAATAATATGCTAGATACTTAGCTGGTCGGTACTTCAGAATAAACTTCTATCTATTGTTATTAGAAAAAAATGCAAGCGGCAGCTAAGTTTTAGAAACCATGTTATTTTATTAGAACTTTTGCAATATTTTTTTCCTTAGTTGGTATCCTGTTTTATGTCCGTTCTACCAATTGATTATCTTCCATGTTTGTTTAAATTTTCCACTAGGTTTTGCATCGTGAGCTTTTAGTCTGGTTTTTTCCCGACCATCTATAGTATTGAGAATTATGTTCAGATTGCCTTCTAATTTGACCATTTATTTATAGTCCTCGTAGCTCTCTACTTCTGGCATGCAAACCTGGTAAACATTAGGAGTTTCTATGCATATATTGATTTACTTTTCTGGTACTATAAAAGAAGATTCATTATAGATCCAATAATTTCCAACTCTTTTACCTGTATTCGTTAGATTCCTTATGATTTGTTCTTTTAAACCCTGGCTAACAAGAGCATTTAAAGATTAGTTATTGCCCTTGGATGCCTCTATGCAGCATACTCATGCATTTTTTTTTTTATGTAAATTGACCACAGGTACTGATGATGATCTACCTCCATCACATCCAACTAGAGTTTCTGTAAGGGGTAGTATTGCTGGGAATGGAAGATCTACCATAGGTTCTGCTTTGTATTCTAGGATGCATTCTGACATGGAGACCCAAATACATATACTAGAGCAAGAAGCTTATTGTGCTGTTTTGCGTGCTTTTAAAGCTCAATCTGATGCCATCACTTGGGTATGTATCTGTTTAAGCGTTTACTGGTTTTGATAGGCTTTTCTATTTATTTTATGTTGATTGGTGTGTATGCTGTGGGCCTGTTTCATATGTTGGCATCTTTAGGAAAAGGAAGGCCTGATAACAGAACTTAGGAAAGAACTGAGGGTGTCAGACGATGAGCATAGAGAGCTTCTGACCAAGGTTAACTCTGATGATATTATCAGAAGGATAAGGTTTGAATGCATCACGAATTAGCCTGAATTTAGTGGCCTGGAATACATTCAATGGCCTTGCCATATTTTATTCTGTTTAACGAACTATAAACGGTTGTTGCTAGCAGGGACTGGAGACAAAATGGTGGGAACCAGCTTGCAAGAATTGGTGCATCTCATACTGTCCACACTGTTTTGCCTAGTCCAGCTGTTTCTGCATCCCGCAAGAAACAGAAGATATCTCAGTCGGTATATCTCTTACCATCTCTGGTGCAATAACAAGGTTTAGAACTCTCATTATTTCTAGTTCTTTGTATTAAGCTTTCTTCTTTGGATGATAACTAGCAACACTGCTTTAGGAACAGGGACCAAATGCATGAAGCATTGATCTTATTTTTATGATATAAATGCATATGCAAACTTTGATGTGATTTCCTCGAAATTTTCCGCTACAGGGTCAGTCATTGCCTGGCTTATCCTCAACAAAGCCTATGCATTACCCTGCTGCAGTTTCTGCTGGAAGTAGGCAATTCAACAACCGAGGTACTGGTGCTGGCCTTTTGGCCAATGAGCAGGGTGAAGGAGCAACTTTTGATCCCTTAATTGGAAGGAAAGTGTGGACAAGATGGCCTGAAGACAACCATTTCTATGAGGCTGTAATCACTGATTACAATCGCTCTGAGGTATATTCAAAGCATATGAAAACATCTTCTGTCTCTTTCTCTGACACTTATATTAAGCTGGAGATTTTAGTTTATGATAAAAAATTAAGAAAAAACGGAACAATAGAAGCATACGCATGTAACTCAAGGCTTAATCAGAGCTACACTTTGTCTGCCTGTTTATGCCGTTACCTGACTTGTAAATCAAAACAAAAATTGATGCCTTTTAATTTCCCATTGTTGCAACTATTTTGTTCGTCTTTGTTTTGCTAGTCTATATGCATCTTTTGTTGACTGCGAATCAAAAGATTTATACAGTGTCTTTTTATTCCACAATTTTGCATTATATTATGTGTCTCTGTTGCTAATCTATCTGCAGTCTGTCAAATCTTTTGAGCTGGGATGAAGTGTAAACATTATTTTTCTCCTTCATTTCACAGTATCTTAGGAAATTTCTTTTATAAGATATTAAGGCACCCATAGCCATAATCTTATTGTTCAAAAGGATTGTTCTTTATGCAATACAATTTATCTGGTAACAATTGTAAAAAGCCTTGTAGAACTGTTTCTATTGATTCTGTGTTACTTATTGCTATGCATTCATTGGTATATTTTATTGTTGTTTTACAGGGTCGACATGCTCTGGTTTATGATATAAGTACGGCAAATGAGACTTGGGAATGGGTTGATCTCAAAGAGGTAAAGCGGATATGAGTTTTTATCATGCAATTTGTTAGTTGTATGTGCTAGTCATTTCTTTCTGCGGCAACAAAGTTAGAATGTGTGGACAAATATCATTTTGCTGGTTTATATCGATACTGTATATACTGTTGATTCTATTTTGTGTCGCTTGTTAAGTGTTACCAATGTTGTTTTGCTAACTTTAAATAAAGACAAAAATTCTAAAATTAACCGAAAATATATGTATATATCTTTATATATATGTATGTATATGTCAATTTCTCTCCGTTTTCTTAAAAAAAGTATAAATAAGGGGGTAAATACTTTATAAGAAACTAATTGATTCTAATCAGGAATCCTTTCAAGGAACTTTTTTAAAAAAATATATAAGAACACTATAAACACACAGTAGGTAGCAAATCCTATTAAACATTTTTTGTGGAGATTGTGAAACATGTTACAGGGAAAAAGCCTCATTCATGGATTTTATTTGTCCACACTCCACATATTACTTATGCCATACATTAGAAATTGGAAGTTAGTTAGTCCTTGTTTGAGCTGAAGTTTGTAGGTATGGGTGAAGAGATTTGAAGCGTTATGAAGTCATACTCTCATGATCGTGTAATAAAAGGTCTATCACAAAGCAAGGAACTATAAGATTGACAGTCCATTTGAAGATAACCCCAAGAACATTTTTTTGGGTTCAAAAAGGAACGCTACTTTGATTATAACCACTATTTAGTTTTTTCCCCCTGATATGCAACCTTTATGTAGTATCATACTATTTTCAAGTTTATATTCTAAGAGGTTCTGGTTATTTTTCTAGCCATCTTGATTGTGCATTTGTTTAGCGGTTTCATTTGTAGGTATATCTGTCTCCATAATTTGCTAGAAAGTGAGCCATTATAGATGCCTCCGAATTGTGTATTTCGGTTGCCATTGCTGGTGTTCCTCATATCCTTCTTTTTCCTGTTTTCTGTAGAAATTAGAGTAATTCTCTATAATTTCTTATTCTTTTCAATAGGACAAATTACATATTTATATACAAATCATCTCTCTAAAGTAGGAAACTCTAAGAAAGGAAAGATACTAATCCTAGGAGATATGATCCCTTAAAATAAGGGATTGTAGAATATTTACAGAATCCCTTAATTAAAGGATATTTACATAATCATATTTCTATAATTCCTACACTCCCCTCAAGCTGGAGAATATACAAAGCTGGAGAATATACATTGTATAATCCCAGCTTGAATAGGAATTTATTGAAAACAGGCTTTGGCAAAGCCTTGGTAAGAATGTATGCAACTTGTTCTTCTGAAGGAACATATGAAAGTGTGGTTGTCTTTTTGTTAACTTGATCAACAATAAAATGTCTATCAATCTCAACATGCTTTGTCCGATCATGTTGAACTGAGTTCTTGGCAATTTGAATAGCAGATTGATTATCACACAAAACTTCAAAGTGATCCTCTTGATTAGTGACAAGTTCTTTCAGTAGTTTAAGTAGCCAAATTCCTTCACATATTCCCAATACTAGTGCTCTGAATTCAGCTTCAGCACTACTTCTTGAAACAACAGATTGTTTCTTACTTCTCCAAGTTGTAAGGTTTCCCCAAACAAAGGTGCAGTAGCCACTAGTAGATCTCCTTTCAGTAAGGTCTTCGGCCCAACTAGAATCTGTAAAGATCTTAACAGTTCTGTCTTGTGTCTTCTTAAACATTAAACTGTGTCCTGGAGTTTTCTTCAAGTACTTGAGAATTCTATTTGCTGCTGCCATATGCTCTTCAGTAGGATTAATCATGTGTTGACTTATCACATTTACAGGAAATGCTATATCTGGCCTTGTCAAGGATAAATAAATTAGTTTCCCAACTAATCTTTGAAATTTCTCTTTGTCTACTAATGACCCATCTTCTTTGTTAAATTTCAAGCTTGCCTCCATTGGTGTATCATTCGGCTTACAACCAAGAAAAGCAGTTTCTTTGGGTAAATCAAGTACATATTTTCTTTAGTTGATCACAAGTCCTTCTCTTGACCTTGCCACCTCCATTCCTAGGAAATACCTTAGCTTTCCCAAGTCCTTGGTTTCGAATTCCTTATTTAACTTCTTCAAATTGCAAATCTCTTCTTCATCATCTTCGGTAAGAATTATGTCGTCCACGTACACAATAAGGATATCTTTCTTATTTGTAGAAGTTACTTTGATGAAAAGAGAATGATCGGCGAGGGACTGCTTGTAGCCGTTTTTTAGGATGACTTTAGTAAACCTCTCGAACCAAGCTCTGGGTGATTGTTTTAACCCGTATAGAGACTTGTTGAGCTTGCACACCTTGTTTTACTTCCTTCAACAGACTTTAAGCCAGGTGGCAATTTCATATAGACTTCTTCTTCTAGCTTGCCATTAAGAAAAGCGTTTTTTTACATCAAGTTGGTGTAATTTCCAATCGCAATTTACTGCCAAACTTAGGAGTACTCTAACAGTATTCAGCTTCGCCACAGGTGCAAAAGTTTCTGTGAAATCTATCCCATATGTTTGTGTAAAGCCTCTGGCCACTAGTCTCGCTTTGTATCGCTGGATGCTACCATTGGAGTTATACTTTACAGTAAAGATTCATTTACAGCCAACAACCTTTTTTCCTTGAGGAAGGTTCGTAACGGTCCAAGTAGCATTTTCTCTAGTGCACAAATTTCCTCTTCAACAGCCCTTCTCCATTTTGAATCCTTTAGAGCTTCAGCTATGCTTGTGGGAACCTGTTCTTTATCCAAGTTTGCCGTAAATGCTTGAAAAGACGGCATCAATGAATTATAACCAGTAAATTTTCAATAGGATGCTTGGTGCATTGTCTAACCCATTTTCTAATAGCAATAGGGAAGTCATCTAGAGTAGAGGAAGTGGACTTACTGATTTCTTCTATTTCGGCAGTTGGACCCAAATCCAATTCTCGGCAAGCATCAGATTGCAAAACAGCTTCAGGAATATGTTTTCTTTTCCTTGTATAAAAATGGAGCTGCTTGATTGATGTTGTTTGTGGAATATTTTGAATGGGAGTAGGTGTATTTTCAGGAAGGGTATTTAAAGTGGGTATGTGCGAAGTAGTGATAGGTACTACCGGTGGATCAATGGGAGTAGTTACAGGTGACAAATCTGTAGGTAAGGACAAAATTAGTGGCAATTCTGAAGGTTGAGAATGAAGAGTAAGAGGAGATACTGATGTGGTTGAAAATCCTTCCATGTCTCCCCCTGAATTTCAACCTGAGTGAAATAGGGATCCTGCTCATAAAATGTTATATCCATAGTGGTAAAAAATCGTTTTGAAGGAGGATGATAGCATTTATAACCCTTCTTAAGTGAAGAATACCCAACCAGTACACACTTTAATGATTTAGGATCTAACTTGGACTTATTAGGAGCAATGTTTTGGATAAAAACAGTACAATCAAATATTTTAAGTGGAAGAATGGAGGAGATAGGTTTAAAATGGGAAAAGTATTGCAAAAATATAGATTGAGGTGTTTGAAATTGTAAAATCTTACTAGGCATTCGATTAATTAAATATGTGGCAGTTAATAAAGTTTCCCCCCACAAATATTTTGGAACATTAGTGGTAAATAGAAGAGAACGAGTAACTTCAATGAGGTGTTTATTTTTTCTTTCGGCAATACCGTTTTGTTGTGGGGTGTCAACACAAGAACTGATCTGAACTATGCCATTTTCCCTGAAAAACGCACCCAAGACTTAGCAAAAAGTTCACTGCCATTATTAGATTTAAAGAGCTGAATTTTAGACCCAAATTGAGTGAGAACCATGTTATAAAATTGGGTAAAAACACCAGCAGTTTCAGATTTATCTTTTAGCAAATAAGTCCAAGTTATCCTACTGTGATCATCAATGAAAGCGATAAACCACTTACAATTATCATCATTCTTCACCCAAGAAGGGCTCCAAATATCACTGTGGATCAAAGCAAAAGGGTGAGAAGGCTTATATGTAGAAGGAGAATAAGTTGATTTAGTATGTTTGGCAAGAGAGCAAACTTTGCAAGAAAAAAAATTTATGAATGAATAGAGCAGGAAAAACTTTTGCAAGATAGTGAAAACTAGGATGACCTAAACGATCATTATCAGCTTTTTTAAAGCGGTGAAAGATTTCGAGATTTCGGTTTTAGTAGAGGCAGGAAGAATGTAGAGACCATTCTGCAAGCTGGCCTTACCAATCATCTTCTTCGAGTTCAATGCCTACAAAGTACAATCAATATCATTAAAAATTGCAGAGCAGTGCAAGTCGGTGGAAAGTTTACTAACGGAAACGAGATTACAAGCAAGATTTGGTACGAAGAGGACATTTTTAAGTACAATCTAGTCATTGAGAATAACAGTGCCTTGTCCTTCTATTTTGCACAAAGAACCATCAGCCGTTTTGACAGCTTTACCAAAGTTTGGAAAAAAATTACAAAACAAATCCTTATTACCAGTCATATGATCCGTAGCACCAGAATCGAGGATCCAATTAGGGGTCGACTGGGAGGAGAAAAAAACTTTAGCATGAGGTTTACCTTCTGGTTCTTTCATGACCAGATTACCTTCTGACTGAGCAGCAGAACCAGAAAAATTTTCTGGATTCGAAGTGATCTCCGGAGTAGGAGAAGAAGTTGTGGACATCGTCTAGGTTGGAAAGAAACCGTAACCTAAGCTGATACCATGTAGAAATAAGAGTAATTCTCTGTAATTTCTTATTCTTTTCAATAGGACAAATTACATATTTATATACAAATCATCTCTCTAAAGTAGGAAACTCTATGAAGAAAAGATACTAATCCTAGGAGATATGTTCCATTAAAATAAGGGATTGTACAGAATCCCTTAATTAAAGGATATTTACCAAATCATATATTTCTATAATTCCTTACATTTTCATATCAAGTTCTTTCATCATCTTGATTTACCATATTTTTAATCTAAGTTATGCCAGGAAAACAATAGTCAGATTTATGATACTAATCTTTTTATTGTTTATCATTTGAAGATTTGAAGTGCATTGGTATTTGTTTTTGTTCAGTATCCTTTTAGAAGAGCTAATTTTGATTATCGAAAGCCGGAAGTGGTTCTACTGCTTCATCATTGTGGAAATCTTTAGTATGAATGGCTTTCCATATACATTTTATTGGGAACAATATTGAACTCCTAATGTGTACAGATTTCTCCCGATGACATCAGATGGGATGGTGAGGACCCAGGCATATCTTATCAAGGTGGCCGTGGTTTCCATAGAGCTAAGAAATCATTCAGTAATGGTGCTCCCGCGCCAGGTCCTGGAAGAGGCAGAGGTTCAGTGAGGGGTCTATACAGAAAAGAATCTTTTCCGTTGCAGAATGGTATTTCAAATAAACTTTCAGATGATATCGAGTTGTTAAACACAGAGGCTCTAGTAAAGGAGGTAGTTATGGAGAATTGACTCAACGGATTTCATTACATATCAGCTTGAGATAATTGACATTATATATTATTTTCTAATTCAATTTGATACCTTCAACAGGTGGAGAAGGTTTTCGATGCTAGCCATCCTAATCCCCACGAGCTTGAGAAGGCAAAGAAGATGCTGAAAGTAAATTCATCATTCATTCAAACTCATTGAAATATCTTTCCTTCCATTGCTTAGGACTGCAAACCTTAACCATTTTATGTAATGCAGGAACATGAGCAAGCACTCATTGATGCTATTGCGAGGCTTGCCGATGCATCTGATGGTGAAAGTGGTAATCAATATATGTATACATAATGCTTTATTTCTTCTGTGTGCTGCTGATAGTCTATACTGAGACTCCTTGTTGATAAAGTTTCAATTCCATTTGATTTGATAAAAGGCTAGCTAGCTGTCATAGTTTCACATGTGCATCACAAATGTAATTGAATTAAGAATGTAAGCCTGGACTGTACAACTTGGTTTTGATCCAGAGTTCATAGACTGCACAAATGTCATTTCAACTCTTATGCATATAAGAAAAACTATGGCTTAATTCTGTACGCCGAGGAGGCTCATTATTTTGTTACTGTATTTGATTTTTAGACGGAGAACAGACGTACTCTCGTGGACAACCGATGGAGCAGCTGTGAATATGCAGTGGGCAGCAAACATGGTAACAGTGGGCTATATCAAAGTCTCAAAGAATTACAAGGTTGCATCCAGAGTTTGTAGAAACCAAATTGCAATAGATAACTAGTTGATCTTTTCTTTCACTTCTATTTGTTGTGGATCTTTTTTTCTGGTTACTTGGATAGAAAGTTGCCAAAATCTTGTAAGAGGATCAGTTTCCAAACACAAGACTTCCAAATTTAGCTCCATCCATGATAATCTGGAATGTAAAATTATTCTTGCAGCCTTCGATGTAGAAGTTTTGGATTCATGGCTTTATTGAAACCAAGCTTTTCCACAACTTTGTTCATTGCAAGCAACTAGCTTATGTAACATTTCATATCACAAGTAGATGCATGGCAAATAGTAGATGCAAGCAACTTTGCTTATATCACAAGTAGATGCAGGACAATTAAATAAAAGGAGGTACAATGAATGAATGAATTAAAGAAGCTAAAAATAAACACTGGAAAACTAGCAATCTTAAGGGGCACAACTGCAAATGATGATGGGAGTAGAGACCAAATTCAAGCTTCAAGTGACAAGCATTGTTTGCCTCCATAACCACAAACATTGAAGTTCTTTGTACAGAGTTGTACCGAAGTCACATTGGAAAGATATAGTTGTTATAAAAAACTAGGCAAATAGCAACATTTAAGAGATTAACATTATGATTCTCTTACCAAGACATTATGGTTCTCTTACCAAAAACAAAACTCTTTACAAGATCAAAGATCTGGTAATCATACCACTACAATCAACAGGATGCAATGCGAGGAAAGACATTGATGAACACATCAAAACTAAAAGTAAAGAACGCCGAGAATTTGGAAACTCCAATCAAGCAGAAAAGGCACATCCACAGATAATCATCGATAAAAATTCAAGGAACCCAAAAATACTTGAGGCTAAGCACATAATTTCGATGATCATCGATAAAAGGAAAAAAATAAAGCTAAACAACGATTATAAACACAGATCTCAAACACAAACATACCTGCAAGGGAAACCCAGAGAGAAGATCATGTTAGCAGCCAAACATTTGAGATGTCAGCAATTGATAGTATTCAGAAATGGTGGTGTTTGGTAACATTATGGGAATGTTACCATTCTTTCAAACGAGAAATATACCCAAGGTTCAATTGAGCTTCCATTTGTCAGGAGTTGGGATTAGAGAGAGAATTGTAGCAGAATTTGAGGATGGAATTATAGGAGTAATTGTGAAATGTGTAACTCATGGTAAAAGAAATTCCTTAATTAGTTTTAAATCAAAAATTTATTTTTTATTAATATTCAAAAAAGATATTTTGTAATTTCTATTTTACTTATTAAATCAGTTTTTAATTAATTTGAATTTTTTAGACTTTTATATTAATTTTCAAATAGAATAGACTATTAATTATTGATTCAAACAGTATAAATATTATAATTTATTTTTATTTAACGAGACAATTATATTAAGTGGTTTCGGTAGTAAAAAACAATGTTGATTTTCTTAGAACCTAAATTCCAGCAATTACATTTGCAGAATGCATATATATTGTAAATAAGAAAATTCTGAGCATATATTAACTTATAATAATTTCAAACTATTAGAAAAATAAAAATAAAAAGATGAACACAAGATTTTTTATGTCAAGTTGGAGAACTTATAAAATTATAGAGATAATGAAATTATAAAATTTTAGAAAAAACGAAATAAATTATCAATAAAAAATATAAAAAAATTAAAATTAAAAAAATTAGAAGGAACGATGGTCCCATCCACTTTTTTTATATCAAATCGATCAACTAGATTGGGTCAATGACAGTCAACGATGTCGATTTCAAAACCCTTAATTAGACCTAATGTTCACTGGGTTTCATATCCAAACCTTCTATTGGACCAGTAAAACAAATAACATCCACTAAATCCATATTCAAATATAAACTATGCCATTTATTTTGGATAAACATGTAAAATATTTAATGTAATGCTTATATTTTTTGAAATATTTTATCTAATACATATTTTGATAAAAACATGTAAGATTATTATTAAATTACATTAAATATCATGATAAACATTTTAAATATACAAATATCATATTAGATATTTGGGTAAACTGCATGATTGATCACTTTCTTTTATGTTTTGTACATTTCTTTCATCGAGTTCAAAAAATATAATATTTGATCACTTTTGTTTTTATTTAATTAAGATATAATTAATGAGAGTTAATTATTGTTAGACTTTGAACAGATTGTTGATGTAGCACAATGAACATTGTTGACTAGTAAAGTAGCCAACAACCATGGAAGGTGTTGAACTTATTTTAATATAACAAATTAAAGGCATAATGTTTTTTTGGACTTGATTGAATTTATTCAAAGTTTTCAAAAATAATTCAAAGTCCATTAAACAAGAATTTGAACACAAAATTGTTCTTTTGGGTAAGTAGTACCAATATCGTTATCGAATGAACAATACCGATATTGTTCTTCAGGTATCGTTGTCAAAGGTAAGAGAAGTATCGATACTCTCGTGGTAATATCGATACAACCTGTTGTTTTCCAAAGTGTTCAAATTCCAATATGAAAAATTTGTATCGATACTCTAGGAGTACCAATACTACTTTACACAGTAGTATCGATACCATAAAACCCTAGTATTGATACTGTTAAGCCCAACGGGTTTTCACGACTAGTTTATTAAATACTATAAAGGTAGTACTGTACTCCTAGCATGAGTATTGATACTCCTTGTTTTGGGTTGTTTTGTTTTGCAAAAAATTAATCCTCAACGGCTACAAACTAACTCCAATATATAATAACGAGTCTAGGCCACTTGAAGAAGGTTACACAACACCTATCCAAGTAATCAAGATCAAGAGAAAGCTCTTTCACTCTTTATTCCTTCTTTTCTCTTATACATAGTGTATTTTTGTGAGCTTAATTTTCTAAACACCTACCTTTGAAAAGTTTTTCTTGTTTAAATTATTTATCCTTTGTAAAAGGGGAGTGTGTAATACCCCAAATTTTGGTTAGTGACCAAAACATAAATTTTCAAAGTTTAGTGGCCAAAGATAAATTTTGAAAAAGTTTAGGGACCAAAATATAAATTTTTTAAAAGTTAGGTATTATGACCCCATAAATGAATAGGTCAACCCAAAAATGACATTTCATGGGAATTATATTTTTTTTTGATTCGAAATATGTATTAAAAGCTACAAAGTGTTAAAGTCCGATAAAAATTTGGATAATCGGATCGAATCAGAAATTTTAGAAACTTTTGAAGGATGATAAATTAAGGTTAGAAATATTATTTCCAAATTTTAAAATGATGAAAATATTATGAAGCATTGGATTTGAGAATTATTTTCCATGTTAATTATGGACAGTTGGATGAAAATGACAAGATTGGAAATTTTTAAAACATGCATGGGTAAAGTTGTAAAGGACAAATTTATTTGTTCATATTTGACTTTGGATGATGATAATTAACATGTGAAAAGGTATTATGGCAAGATTCATTAAAGGTATTATTGTCATTTCCCATTCAATGAAATTTTAATTCATTTAAGCTTAATAAATGACAAATGTACATGAAACTAATTAAAAATTTCATGAAGATTTGTTCATCTTTCTCCTTCTTGGCCATGTATACCATTCAAGATTATGATTGAAATCAAGATCAAGCAATATGAATTACTAAGAAAGGTTTGCAAGCTAAGTACACTAGGTGTGTGCATATTTAATTAATACTTATGTATTGTGCAAACATTGGCTTGCGATGAGCTAGCGATGGAGTTACTATGGTAAGAAGCGACTCATAAATGTTATATGAATTTTGGATGCATGCATATATGTTCATTTGTTAAGCTAATAGAATTAGTGAATAGGCTAAGGATATAACCTAGTGAAATCTGCCTAAATTTGTGGTCTGGATAGTAAGTTTAGAAAATCACCATAAATTCTACAAGAATGGTTAAAGGATGATTTTTATACCATTGGTTTTTTATATCAGTTTAATTTTGTTTAAAACAAATGGATACTTATTTTGAGGATTATACAAAAATATATGAATTTTTAATCGAGTATAGGTCAGAAAATAGGGCGGCAGATTCTGCTCAAAACAACTTCTGTAAGTCAGATTAGAAAATTCACTATAAATTGTACAAGTTGAGCTAGAAGAAGTGATTTATATGGTTAGATTCATATTTTAGTATAGTTTCTAGTGGTATAAATGGAACAATTTTTTAAGTGTTTATATTAATACATAATAATATTTCTTTGAGGGTAGCGCAAACTGCCATCATATGAAGTTTGTCATAAATTATGTTGTTTATGCTACTCCTATGTTATATGTTATCTTAAATGTTTAAAATGAGCCAACTCTATTATCTTCGCATGATAATTATGAAATTTATCATATGATGAAATATGAGGTTTCTATGTCAAAAATGAAAGTGATAAGTGATGTTTCCATGATATACTCATGTTATGTGAAAATGGAATATTTAGGGTATGAACTGCCCAATGCACTTTTATATGACATTTTGATATGTTAGTATCTACGGATACTCCTGATAAATAAATGGTATATAATTATGGCATAAAATCCCATTGTATGTGCGTTGAGAGTCTTTGTTTATTTGACATGTCATGAGGTGTTGTGTTTATCTATCGATCTCGTTTAGTACATTTTTGTACTCTCGTATTAGTGCATTCATGCAATCCTATATTAGTACATTTAGGTACTCATGTATTAGTACATTTGTGTACTCCTGGTGCTATATGTGCAATTATGGTTCATGATGTTTGACATGTGAACTATTGTAATGCCCCGAATATCGTTATAGTAGTTTTGTACCGACCCAATAATTTATTAATATGTATTTATTATAGCATAAAGGTCTATTGGTTGAAATTTGAGTTTAACTAGTAAGAAATTAGCCTTGTAGAAGATAAATGGGTGAATTTTAAGCTTTGAAAGAACATGGAAGGGCCTAGAGTGTATTTTACCATTGAAGCAAGACATGGTTGATTTAGGGTGATTCTTTCCCATTTTAGCAGTGGGTTTTGTTTCCTTCTTCCTCTTTTCTTTCTTTCTTCTCTTTCTCTGCGCTCAAGAAAGAACAATAAAAAATGCTTCACCTTTCTTTATCTTT